GGCTAGCGACCAATCCGGCACATTGGAGCACCCGATGTAAGCTGAATCTCTTGTCTCCCTTCTTTATTTCGTAGTTGATGTTCTTTTCTTGTATTGCTTCATCTTGTGCTGTCACACCAGCGAATCCTCCCAGCACGGCCCTTCCGTACCAGAACCTGCACTGCTCTGGAGGACATGTAACTACTGGGTGCCAGAGAAGCACTGCAATTTACCTTCAATCCATTAGTGTACACCCAGGCAAAGCGCTGACGGACGTGCGGGAACCAGAAGACTGGACAGGACTCAACTGGAGCCGCATGTGAATCCGCTGGAACCAAGCCGTCGGATTCAGCGCACGACGCAGCCCCCGACACAAGCTTGCTCCGCCTTTGCTTTGGCGCTACAAGTACGGAGTAAATATTGATTGAGGTACTGGAGAGTAGTAATCAGACAATTCGCAAATCTCATTTCCATACCAAAAAACCAACAACCACCAAGATCAAGAGGTGGTGTCGACTGGCTTTGTACCGAGGGCAAGACGTCCAATTGCCCTACCCGGCGGGGTCGATCCCCGGCGCCGCAGTGAGAGAATTAGGCATGGGCTCAAAGGCTCAAGGTTGCATTTCTGCTTCTGCTTGTGCTTGTTGGCCCCAAGAGTATCCTCGACTGTCGACGGGGAATAACTCCAGGCAGCGTCGAAATTTTCTACCAGGACGTGCAAGCATTGATCTCGGCATAGTGGGCCACCCCAAGAGCAAGCAGCGCGTCTTGTCTGGCCACAACGAGCCGCTCATTGCATGGATCCATGGATGTTTTTATGCGAGTGCAGGCAGAAAGAGGCATGGCCCAGCACCGCGGAAGGTCGTGCAAAGCATGAATAGGGACGGGAGGGCAAGGACAGGCAGAGCATCAAATGACTGCCAGCCAGCGATCTTGCACTAACATGCCAGGCTTCGTCTAGAGCTGCCGCGAAGCCCTCAGGCATTGAACGGATCAATGACAGACAGGGCTGGCGCATGTCCCGTCCCGTCCCCTGGCCCCAAGTGCACTGAGCAGCGCAGCGCATTGATCTGATACACCCTCCCCTAGCAGCGGGCACTAATAAGGGTCAGCCGCAGGCATGGGATTATGTAGGATTGGGCAGAGGAAAGGAAAAAGGATCCCCAGGGCCTAGGACAGGGTACGATTGCGAATGGGCAGTCCGTACTCCGTACATGCAGTCCAGTACTTAGCAACATATATGCACACCCGCGCCACTTTCACGGCCGGCAAGAGTACACGAGCCACGGGGGGAGCCCAGGTATCGGGTACTCGCTGCGGCCCCGGTGCGTGGACGAGAGCTCGTACCGGTACACGCGCTGGCAGGTGGGTCGCCGCCTGGGCGTGGGGAACGGGGCCGCGGGGCGGTCGCAAAGTTTGAGGTGCGGCTGGGAGGATTTTGGATTTGGAGTGGCTTCCGGGGCTGCGGAATGATGGGCAAGCGAGAGCCAGAATTAGAACCAGAACCAGAATCAGACCAAGAACAAGAACAAGAACTGAACTGACACGTATAATTTCCAAGGCAGATTCAAAGGTGGGTTGTAATGAAAAGGGAAGCCTGAGGGTGTGATGAAGGGCAGCTGCAGTGGCCCAGGACCTGCAGGAATATGCGCACTTACGGAGCCGGCGATGCAGACGCCACTAGTCGAATCAGCATTGGCGCCTCGTCCAGCGGCGTTGAAAGAGGCAATCGATCAAGGCCCTGGGGCTGTATGTCATGTAATGTGCCGTAATGGATGTCCATATGCGTGTCAGGGAGGCTAGGTATCTATGAGCACGTCGTGGTGTATGCCTTATTAGTAAGATCCGTCAAATATCAATCAGTATCAAAATCGACTGTAAGCAAAGCATGCAATGATGCGATACGCAGCCAAGCACGTACGGCAAGACAACGATGCTGCATCCATCGGCCTGCGTGGCGAGCGAGCTGCGCGAGTGTGTGTGTCTTGTGTCAAAATCATTTGCTGCAAATCCATGCAAGGACGTCGAGCGTCCAACACAGCGGCCGGGGGATGGCCTGGCCTGGCTTTTGGGGCTGTTGGCTGTTGGCTGTTGGCTGTTGGTCATCAACGCATTTGCTGAGCTGGGTTGCTTTGTACTCTGTACCACCTCCCGCCTGGGCTCGGTGCATTGCTAGCACGTCCTTGAGCCTACCTAGGAGTATTCGTACATGTATGTATACATACTAACCTCGATGCTGGAAATGCCACGGTGCTTGATGCGTGGTGTCTGGTGTCTTGTCTGGTCGATTGACGCTGATGTCATGCCACGGAATGCTCCCGTCCTGTCTCTTCTCTGGCCTCTTCGGCAGACCACCGGGACGCCGCCACAGTCCCGCGATCACATCAATTATTGCTCCATACGCCCATCGTCCTGCCTGCCCTGCCGGCATGAGCAACACCCGGCTGGCATGGGATTTCCCCCGGCTGCTGCGGAGGATTCAGGCCGGGTTAATGCTGGTACCGTACGAGTAACTGCACACAGTCGAGACAAGCACTGGCAGTGGCTAGAGCGGCCCGAGCAAAGATGAGATGGACTGCGGCAGTGGCCAGTTGCCTGCGACGGCCGCACGGGACGGACTTAGTGCAGGGATGGACGGCTTCAACAGCACATGTACCGCTACCAGCACCACCGCCGCCGTGCCGTAGCGGTACACCCGCCGCATGTACTCGTACAAGCCCAGTACCAACTGCAGTGGAATTGAAGTAAGCCAGGCCAGGCCCGGCGCCTGCATCTGGATCCACGCGCCACACCACCTAATTGCTTTCCTGGTAACACTGGGACCGCTGCCCATGTCCTGACTTTTCATACTGGCTGGCGCTGGCGCTGGCCCTCGCCTTGCCCAGCTCTTTTCCTGCTCTGCTCTGCTCTGCTTCTGCTCTGCTCTTTCGTCCCGCCAACCTTCCCGTGCCCGTGCTCGTGCCCGTGCTTGAGCTTGAGAGAGAGCGAACAGAAGCGAATGCGAGTGCTGGAGCCCTTGAATCGCACCGTATCGTGTCGTACAGCACCTGGGCCAGCCTCGAGGTCGCTTCAAACCGCCTTCAACCATCAATCAATCACCAACCCCCCCGGCCAGCCAGACCACACCACACCACACCAGACAGGGAAGACCAAGGAAGACTGAAGAAGAGCCGCCCTGGGCCACCAAAAACCTGCCCACCGCGTCTTCGTCTAGCCTCTCCCTCCACTCTGTTCGGAGCTCTTTTGCTCTAGCGCCAATCCGCTCCAGCAAATCATCTTGTGTCTGTCGAGGCATTCAGACCGTTGTTATTCGCACTCCTTTGCTTTGCCTTGCCGTCCCAGCTTCTCGGGATACCGTTTGCCATTTCGCCTCTTTTTCTCTCCTTCTCTTCTTCTCTCTCAGTCCCCCTTCTGTCGCTCACTCTCTGCTCCCCCATCTCTCTCGCCGTGTCCGCCTTCTCCCTTGCTTTGCTCACGCCAGACACCGGGCTCGGCACAATCGCTCCCGTCACTTCTCTCGCGCCTTTCCTGGTCCCAATTACACCTACACCTACGCCTCTGCCCCGTGTTGGTAGCCCGTCGACCCTAAGAGCGACGAAGGGGGGAGAAACCCGAAGCCAAAATTTCACTAGAGCCCTGGCTTCGTCGTTGCTTGCTAGTAGGGGAGGCAGGCCATTCATCCCGGGCTCGCGTCAATCCGCCAAACCCCAAAGAGCCCTAGAACCTCGCGACACCTGCTCTTTGACCCAACGGCTCACGACGACCATCTGTCGATTCTCAATTCGGCCTCCGTCGACTCGGCCAAACCCTCCTCTCTGGTCCACTCCGGGCCCGAGTTTCGCGCCAGTCTTAAAGGGCTAGCCGTCCTCCCCCCCTCTCCTGTTCCTGCTTGCCGAACGACAGATCCCGACCTCAGCCTGGGAGTCGTGATACTTTCGATACCGCTCTTCTCCGCTCTCTTCAACGTCATTCGCTTGTGTCTTTCAAACGGAGCTACTACGCCATTAAAAAGACCTTTACGTTTCCTCTTCGACTTGCATCACTGTTTACTCCCCCTTACTTGTTGCTGCTTTCTCGTTATTACGACTTGGTGACAAAAGGCGGCTGAGGTCACTGGAGCTGAGATACTCGAGCTCATCATCCAAGGAGCCCCGTCAGAGTCCAACCCAGCGGCTTCCTAAAACAAGTCACGAACCAAGATTGAATCATCGCTTAATCTAACCTACAACATCTGCACGGCGCACTCTCGTGATACATACACATCGGCATCCGTGTCACGTCGTTGGGGTCTTGACCCGTTGGATTTCGTCATGTAAGTCGCCATCTATCTTTGTTATAAATCTGGTTACCCTACTCCCGCCCGCCCGCCTACCCGCTCGGCTCTGCTTCCCTTTGATTTATTTGTCCATTCTGTCTCACTATCGTCATGTGTGTGAAAAGGCGCCGTGCATGCTATTTGTGTCCGGCCCGGACGTGAATGCTGTGCCTAGCCGACACAACTTCCTCCTTGGTAGCCAATCATAGCATATGACTGTTCACTGCATTCTCTTATTTTATGAATACACCTTACCATTTCCCCTTTAAATGTGCGGCCTTTCCCGATTCTGTGTCTTCACGGCTTCTCTTTTCCGACATCATTTTATAACTCCCACCTTCATCCTGTCGACAGCCCGGTGACGGCTGAGATTTCACACATTTCCTTGCTTCTTCATTCTTCACCTTCCCTATTTTTGGTACGACCTGAGGCTTTAGTATGCTCATCGGGAGATATCTCACGTCTTCTTCACAATTACTCTCCATTTTCAAATAATGATCCGTTGCTAATGATTCGTTGTAGCTGGATAACGTTTCGATTGGTCGACTTCTCACATTTCCCCGTAAATCTCTAGCATTACAATTACCCATTTCCCTCTCCTGGACTCTGGAACAATTGCCTGGATCTTGCCGACTCCATTCCCGGACCTGGATCGCCGCTCCCGTAGCCCCCCGTTATCTCCCCAAGGACTCATCACACGGTCGCCATGTCTCTCAACGCTCGAAATGGGTGTGTTCCACCCTCCCCAGCTATTGTTGCTCCGCCTTCGCCCAACGCAAGTCTGCGACTAACTGTTGGCGATCCGGTCAGTGAGCCGTCAAGTCAACCTGCAGAGCGAGTTCTTCAGGCCGGATTTTGGGAGCACGGCCGCTTTTATGGTTCTTGGAAGCCCGGGAAGTACCTCTTCCCCATTGACAAGGTTTGTTTCTGCTTCATGTCAGTACCTCACGTATTGATTCTGACAACATCATCTAGGAGGAGCTCAATAGACTAGACATCTTTCACAAATTCTTCATGGTGGCAAGAGAAGATCGCATCTCTGAGGCTCCCTTGGACAAAGAAGGGCAGCCTAGGATTATGGATCTCGGAACTGGTACAGGCATCTGGGCATTCAATCTAGTAGAAGAGTAAGTTTCAACATGGGCATCAGCCTCACCCGACTAAATTGCCGTGCTCACAATATCCAGCTTCGCCCCAGATGCCCAAGTCCTGGCCGTCGATCTCAACCAGATCCAGCCAGCTCTGTAAGTTGCAATGCAGAAAATCTTGCTTTTCCCGGACTAACGCATTGCCAACAGCATTCCCCGCGGTGTAACTACTATGCAGTTTGACATTGAGGAGCCTTCCTGGGAGCCACTGCTTCGAGACTGCGACTTGATCCATCTTCGATTGCTTTACGGTAGTATCAAGGACAGTAACTGGCCTGCTGTTTATAGCAAAGTCTTTGAGTAAGTAGCTACTATATCACGCGGCTCGTTCACATCTAACGAGTAGTGTAGACACTTGGTCCCTGGGGGATACATCGAGCACATAGAGGTAGACTGGGCACCACAGTGGGAGGATGATAATATCCCTACGCATTCGGCCCTGCGCGAGTGGGCTCACCTGTTCCAGCGCGCCATGCGTCGATACCAACGAAACGTCACGGTGTCATGTGAAGGCGCCCGAGACAACATGGAAGCCGCTGGTTTCACTGAATTTACTGAAACTGCGATGCGGTGCTACGTGAACCCGTGGTCTCCCGAGCGCCACACCCGAGAGTCTGCTCGCTGGTTCAATCTCGCCCTCAGTCTAGGCCTCGAGGCCATGAGCATGATGCCCATGATTGATAAGCTCGGTATGACGAAAGAGGATATCCAAGACCTCTGTAACAGAGTCAAGAAGGAGATTTGCATTCTACGCTACCACGCCTACTGCACTCTGTAAGCTACCACCCCTATAACGCTTTTAAGTTGTTTCTATAGAGTTGTTATTAACCCGCATACAGACATATCTGGACAGCCAGGAAACCCGGTGGACGACCCCGGCCACCCCCTCTGCAAGAGCCACTGCCGCCTGTACTGCCGCCTACAAGTGCCTAGTAGAAAGCTACAGCCGTAGAAAGGGTCAATTTTTCATCACCATCATACAGAAGTATAGACCAAGATCTATCTGAGAACAAGAACTTTGCAAGGGCTCAAACCCTTGACAGCTTCATCTTCATCTTCTAGCCAAGATAGCTGGCAGATGTCACGATATCAAGAGCATTCTTCTGATTGATGGCACAGTGATTTCGCGAAAATTTAGCGTTTTGTTAACCGCCTAGAGTTGAGATGATACCTCTTGCACATTTACAACGTCTCCCCTTTTGCCTAGATGTCTTGAGGAGGGAAGGGGGGTCTCGCGGCATTTTCCTTTTACTTTTCGGCCTTGACATTTCCTTTGCTCTCTAGTGTTGGCATATGTTTTCTACGAAAGGAGGGGGGGGGAGGGGAAGGGATAATGGTAAAAAATGTACGGATTTAGACGAATGGGAAACAAAGGTACCAAATAAAACCAACGGACGCAACGCCTGAGAGTGTGTATCCATGCCCTTACTGGAAGGGCCATTCATTATGAAGAGCTGGGAGGGGGGTTACGCGATGGTTGGTGTTACAGGGCGATTGTTATGTAGCTTGTCCTTTTTTGAATGATAGATTGGATTCTTTTGGTTCGCTGTCCAGAAATGGTGTGAGTGATGATGTTGGTGACTTGGGATTTTTGTGTTGTTGGTTGACATGGGGGTGAAAATGAACGAGGCTGTGACGCGCCAAGATGAATGCAGTATCATGCCTGGAGAAATACATTATAGTAACAAAACGAGACGAAAAGACAAAGACAAAGAGATACATCCCTTTTCTCTCTTGACCAGTAACATTTACTTCTACAGGTACGACTTTGCATTCAGGACATGTACTCATACCGAGCCTTGGACAAAGAAAACATGTCAGGGGATGCGGTCGTCTCCGTATGGGGCAAGGTTCATGTAAACCCGTAGCCTAGCAGATCCGCTAGTTCCACAGAAGGGGCAGGGGATGGGGATGGAAGCAAACCGGGAAAGAAAATAGACAATTGGGAGAAGAATGATGGGGGGGGACGGGATAGACTAAGTGAGGGTTTTTGGTGCTATTAATTTTATGGGAAAGAATTTTGTTGTCTCTGAGTTCATATTCAGGATGAATGAATGAATTGAGTGTTTCTTGGTTCTTTGCTTATTGAAAACAGAGATGCTACAAGTCTTGACAGACATTAACCATACTGTACGTGTGCTCGTCAGGGGTTGAAAGAAAATGACATGTCGGCAAGGGAGGATCGCTGCGACCAGGGGGGTTGGCCAAAAGACCAAACTCCGTACATGATCTTAAAACAGCTCACAACGTACAGACGTCTCTCAACAAGTAAAAAAAAACAAAAGCCGGGCGAGGAAGAACTCTGGCCAGTCGGCTCCAGCCCATCAAGCCACGAGGTTGCACCGATACTACATGTCAGTTGACACAAGGCTTGTTGGCCGACAGCCGGTTCTAAACGGGGGGGAAGCACAAGGAGATTTTGGTCTTGACCATCCGAAGAATTTCGTCATGGATTAAGTTGCTGCTTCTGCTGCTATGGCATCAAGCAAGTTCTCTGATGTACATGGTTGTGGGTGGGTGTATGCGTGACAAAGGGGGTGTAACAAAGAAAAGGAATAAACGTCAAAACCAAGTTGCTCACACGTATACACACGAGGCAAAAGAGGGATTCTCCAGATGTCCAAGCCCAAAACTCTTCCTGATCCCTCCCGTCCCTCGCCTCGTCTCACCCGCCACGCATTCTCTTTCTCTTCTTTTTTTTTTCTCTGCCAACCAAATGGTCACACCAGATATCCCTCGCTTCGTCAGTCGGGGGTTGTCACACCCGGTCATGTTTTCCTCTATTCCGTTCCTCTTTGTCTATCCGTACATGCCGATTTTCATGTTTTTTTTCCTATATGGTATGCGTGTGATGTGTGTGTGCTTGTCATCTTTCTTCATTCACTCTCCAGAATTTTTTTTCTCCTTTCTTCTTCTACCACAGACAATTCTCATTCTTCGAGCATCAACGAAGCTCGGCCGGGTGGGGTCAGGTTTGGGTTATTGATATTTTTGACCTCCTTGAAAAAATTAAAAAGAATTGGACATTCGCAGGAACGTCTAGTGGTGCGAAGCAGTCTCTCCGCGGTAGCCAATCAGCTTGAATCGGCCTATCATCTCGCCAACGGTGAAGAAACCCAGGGTCTCGGCGAAGATGACACCACCAGCAACCAGCTGGCCAGGAGTCAGGCTGCGAGCCTGCTGGAGAAGGTTCTGGGGAGACTTGAGAATGGCGCCGCTCTGGACGGACTTCCACAGGGACTGGTAGAAGTTCTGGAAGGTGGCGACGGAACTACGGGTCGGATGGTTAGTGTCACCGCTCGAGCATGTATGGAAAGGAGTCGCTTACGGAGGGCTCATCTTCTGTGCGTGGAAGACAATCTTGCTAGTCTCGACGGCAACCTTGCCGTAGTAGACGGCCTGAGGGGTTTGCTCTGCAGATATCAAACACGGGTCAGCAAAATGCGCGGGATTGGGCCAGGACGGTTACGTCACGTACTCTCAACGAAGCTGATGAGCTTGCCGGTGCGTCCACCGACCTTGCCGAGCGCGTTGGTGAGGCCACGAGCAGCTCCGGCAATGGCAGGGCCAGCAGCACCCGCGACGCGCGACAGCCCCTGCGCAGCCTTTGCCTGGTACTCCTTGGCCTTGCCGGCAGCATCTTTGGCGGCGTCGGTGGCCTTGCTGGCGGCAGAGCTCTCGAAGCGGCGGAAGGCAAGCTGGCGCAGGGCCGGCGAGCGGAGCATGGGGCGAGCAAGCGATGAGGGGGCCATGATGGCTGCTGGAGCGAAAGTCTGGCGGTTGGACCGGAGAGGAAGAGCGACAGAGGAGAGGGAGAGAGAGAGAGGAAACCGGGTCGGCTCTAGGGAGAAGCGGCGGGTTTCGAGGAGGCTCGTCTCGGTGGCAGGGAATCGCTGGCCGGGGCGCAATTGATGGCGATTTTTTTGGGTTTTTTTGAATTTTGGATCCTCTGTATGAGGGAGAAAAAAAAGCTCGGGAGAATTCGTGAGGTCGCAAAGCCGAAAGTTGTGAGGTGTGGGGGCTTGGCCCGTTTTGGGAAAGCACATCGGAGGCGAGCGCTTGCTGTTTTCCAGTTGTCCAGAGACCTGGTACAAGTACTTGGTATCAAGCATTAGGAAGGGCGACATGCCAGGTACCAGCTACTCCTTCTTGATGCTAAGTGCGTGCATGCTTCAAGTTCGTACGATTATTTCTGGCAACACCACCTTCTACTTCTACTTGGTCATTGAAATATAAAAGCACCACTAACCTGATTAAAGACATAACACCAAGATAGATAGCTTAGGATTTATTGCTTTTCTATATTTTTTATTTCGTTATTTGAATAAGGTATTCCTAATTGCACCAACTCTGAGTGATTATTTGATTCCATTCATCTACATTCTCATTCGCCAGGTCATCATCATGTTTATGTTCTTTGCTTATCCCGTCATCCTGGAAGACGCAAGACCGGGGGGAAAGGGGGGAAAGGGGAAAAGAAAAACGAAAAAGGAGAAAAAGGGAAATAAACACTGGGAAACGATGCTCCGAGACGCAGTCAGCCAACCCGATATCTGATGCTTGCAAACCCTTTCAGCCGGTCCCTGTTCTCCCCAATTCTTGCGCACAATCCTCTTCTCGCCTCAACATCTACAATGGGCAGCTCAACTCTCACTCCAGGCTCTGAATCATGACCTTGATGGCACCGCTCTTGGGGTCTGCCGACGTCTCAAACGCCTTGACGGCCTCTTCCAGCGTGAAGCGATGAGTGACAAACTTTGATAGGTCGAGCACGCCGCTCTCAATCAGGCGAATGGCTCGCGGCCACGTGTTGCTGTAGCGGTACTGCAGCTGGATGTCGACCTCTCGCACGCTCGCCCGCATAAAGGGGATGTTGATCTCGTTCTTGCCCACGCCAATCACAAAGACTTTGCCTCCAAACTTGGTGGCCCAGATGGCCGCAGAAATGCTGCTCTCCACGCCGGTGCACTCCATGGTCACGGCCGGCTCGATGCCGCCGAAGGAGTCGACAATGCCCTTGGCTGTCTCTTCGGCCGACTTGCCAATCTGGATCTGATGTGTGATGACACGGGGGCAAATTTCCTTTGCAAACGCCAGACGGCTCTCAGAGATGTCGGTGATGACCAGCGGACAAGCACCGGCGGCGGCGCAGCAGAGCATCGACACGAGGCCGATGGGCCCAGCTCCGCAGACCAGGACGGGGTCGCCGAGCTGGACTTTGGCCCTCTGCATGCCGGCCAGGGCCACGCTCAGAGGCTCCAGCAGCGCGCCATTCTCCCAAGACATGTTACCAATCTTGTGACACCAAACGGCGGGGTGGTTGACGTAGCGCCGTAGCAGTCCGGGTACCGGTGGTGTGGACAGGAATTCGACCTTTTCGCAGCCGTTGTAGCGGCCCGTCAGGCAGGGCTCGCAAGCGTTGCAGATGACGTTGGGCTCAATGGCAACCCGATCGCCGACCTGCAGGCTGGTGACAGTCGGGTGGACGGCGATGACTTCGCCCGCGGACTCGTGGCCGAGGATGTGGTCGCCCTCTACAATCATGGGTCCAATGCACCCGGCGTGCCAGAAGTGGACATCGGATCTAGACGAATTCCTTTTATCAGCTGGCTGCTCCTCTACGCTTGAGCGGCGAACAGGAAAAGGCATCGAAATATCACATACCCGCAGATACCGGTGCTACGGACAGCAATGGTCACCTCGCCGGGCTTCAGGTCAGCTCCAGACTCGACGGCATCGGCGCTAGGTTCGGCTTCGCTAATCCAAAGATCATGCTTGGGGTTCGTGAAGACGCCAATGTTGGGCTTGACTGAGATGGCCGCCCCTCTGGCCTTGGGAGCGTCATCAACCGCGGAGGGCGACATGGCGAGCTGTATGCGTGCGAGCGTGTAACGAGGGGCTTGGGGAGGTGAAAAGATGTCGGGCTTCAAAACAAGCACAATATCTTAACCGATGAAGGACGGAGAAACAACAGAGAAGATGTGAGTTTGTATATTTATACTCGCCGTCTCTTCTTCTCCCACTCTTCGTCAGGGTCTAGAATGGCAGCGGCGGCTACAAGGTAAGGCATCGACCAAATTCCACCTACAAGAAGGCGTTGTCGTCCCCTCTTCGTCACCCATGCGAAGATGATGTGGGGGTTCATCAGCTTCCCGGCTTGATGCGAGCATCCCCGACTGCTAAATGCCTAGCTGTGCTGGATAGCTGCGTATGAAATAAGTGGCACATGCCCAACGGCCATGTTTCTGTTTCCCCAATCCCCCATCCGGAGCGATATTGGGCCCGGAAAATGCCTAAGCGCACTTATAACCACACACGACGGTCCGGGACCGTTTAGACGGGTCCGATCCTGACCCGCGCCAATCACGGTGACGGGGGCACGAGCAAACCAATCCGCCGCCACATTTGTGGACCGAGAGGTTTGGAGCGATACAGGCAACCCTTTCCGTGGAAGATGTGGGCAGGCGATGGTTGATGGTGCAGCTGCTGAGAGGTGAATGGTTTAGATGTGACAAACAGGTTTCATGGAGAAACTGTAGAGCTAATACGAGTTGGTTTTCTCGCCTGAATAGAGGCACCAAGACTAACAAATGCAGTTGCAAAACACCACTTGTTCTTCCACTTATGCTCAACCAAGGTGCCACGATACGACACCAATTGCCATCTAGTTAGCCAGTGAATTACAAAAACCCTTCGGAATAATTCTGGAGAGATCCTCCCAATTCGGCTTCACGTTACCACTCCATCTCACCTGTTTCTGGCCACCTCCTCTCCCCCACACCTCAATCCATTGCCAAAACTCGGACTCTGAGTGGTACGGATATATACTCGGTGGATCTACGCTGCAGTTGATTTTAGGCGTGTTCCATTCGTACAGTCCCGTGGTCGCAGCAACGGACAAAGCTGCCCTTGTTCGAGCGTTTCGGGGTCTCGATTAACCTACATGAGCCTCTTTGTTTTATCTTATCATTATGTTTCCCCCCTTTTCTCCATTGGGAAGTGATTCAATGGCAGATACGGAGAGCTCCGTTGTCGGTTCCTTTTAGGCTTTGTTGCGAAAAGTGGCTTGATGAAGCTTATCAAGCTTTTTGCATGGGATGAAATAGTTGCGACAAACAATTCAGGAAAAAAATGCACACATCCAATTCTATGTGTAAAAGCGTAAAAGCGCAAAAGAAGAGAGATGACGGGAAAAAAAAGGTAGCTATCATCTTGATAATAAATGCAAAAAGTAAATTTCACTGCGTGAACTGGGAATCGAACCCAGGGCTCCCCGACGTTGCTCGGATGGCAACGGAGAATTTTACCACTAAACCATTCACGCTGGTTCTTGTTGAAAGTTTATCATCAAAATTAACTCTATCAATTGTAATCTACAAAACGAACCTGCTGGTCTCTCCTCCAGATAGCTCGCCCTCTATGCATTTCCAAAAACAGCTCCCGTTGTAACATCCGTAGAATCTGGTGTACCAACTGTGATACGCATATTCATTCTCGCAAACATTCTTGTTTATGTTTATTGAGACACACTCTATGCAATAAGCCGCCTTCTACAAGGGTAACTGATGTGATTCATGAACGATCCAAGGACGATAACCGGGTGATGCCTCTCCCTGTATTCCGGTAAAACTAAAGGCTATAGCGAGCCCTGTGTCTCCTGATTCCGCTTGTAAATACTTCATTCGGGATTTCTATATGGTAACATAGTTCACTTTGCAAAATAATACTACTTGCTTCGCAAACGCCCGCCTCTAGTCTTCTCGTTCCCTCGCATCGTTGACTCACATCAATGGGCGTGAACAACAAACTCATCATCATGTTCCCATGTTGATCACAGCTAAGCTTCATGTATCTATAGAACGATCGTCCACGGTTACACAACATCCGCCCCCATCTTCTGCAGCTCCCTGGGCAAACATCTAAAGGCAGCGTCCAGCCACAAGCACTTGCATGGCCTCAGTCAAGAGTAATACAAGGGAGTAGCTATTCAGCACCCTAGCGATTGCGTCAAGTTTGGGCATCGGAACCAGAGAGCCGTTTCTTTATTGCTATCAGCACTCGCCTTAACAGTAATTTAAGGATATCTAGTTGACTTCTTTTAGAGTATACTACTATTGCTATTTTCTGCTACTATAGCTACCTGCGGAGTGGCTTGCGATACCAGACCAATCGTCGCGATGTCTGTTTCCGCTAGGAAGTTCGTATACTGATGCCCTGTGTTCGTGAATAGCGCTATTTGATGGGTTATCCTCAATAGCTGGTCCGATGGCATATGTCTGTCAGTTGATGCCGCACACAGAGGGACGTGGAGGGACGAGGTGACTCGAATGCTCAATAAACTGACTGTCGTCAATCTAGCATCAAAAGATGGAAAGAAAAAAGAGATGGAATGGCAATGGCGATGGGTTCGCAGATTGATGTCTGTAATTGCTACCAGATGGTGAGGCAATGTAAAGAGAAGAGCTTGATTCCTTACTACCTAGTAACTGTGGCACATCCTGACATAGGATGAAGGTGTATTCCTTTAGTAGTTACAACTATATCTACATTTCTCTAGTAAAAACTTCTATAGTGATATGTATTTTAGTAGCTGATACGATATTAAACTTCGTCTCGTATATGATATGATTTGTGACACGGGATGCTGGATAGCAAAGTTGGGGTGCAGAATAGACGCTCCGTAATACAATCCGTTTAGCAATCAACACTGGTCCAATCGTTTCTTATTAGTTTTGGCCTGCTCTACCTGTCCCGACAGGGTGAGGATTCTAAAGCAATCATCGTTCATTCATTTCCCTTTTTTTCTCTTTCCATTAGTACGCCGATGCCACATTTCCCAAAAAAACGCCAATACCCATCGCTCCAAATTACCCTCTCCTCTTCAAATTGTTGTAATGTCCCGGGGTGATCCAGCGTCGATTCTGTGGCCGCTGTCTGGGTATCTGAATAATGCATTGCCACCCGTCCTTGACGCTATCTCGATATTCAGAGGTGCTGGGCCGTGCCCTAATTGCCAACAGAGACGACGACGTCGCCTTTGCAGTTGCCGTAGGAGCAACACGCGGATGGGTCCATATCGCCTCGGAGGATGGCGTCCACCTTGATCTAGAAAAATTGTCAGTAACCATCATGCAGTGGGCCAAAACACCAAGTTCTTACATCTGGGCACGGGCCTGAGGGGCCAACAGGCGCCGACGCAACGAGCATGCCTTGCAGGATTGCAAAGCCTGTCCATATAAGTACTGACTTCATGGTGTAGATGGTAAGGAGAAGAGTCGATAGTATTTGTCTCAAAGTTTCGTGATTTGGTATCCCGTGACAGAGATTATGCGTTGAAGTTCCTGAAGCCCCCGTAGGATAGATCTTTGGGAAGAAGAAAAGAATGAGGGAAGGGGACGAGGAAAACCCAAAGGTGATATTCGAGAATAATCGTGCGCCGTTCCACTCCTTGGGCAACAAGGAGCCGAGCAAGTTAAATAAATAAAGTTCGGCAAGAGTTGCGCAGATGGGTTGACAGCGTTGCGCGGTGGCGGAAGGAACCTTTGATGCTTGGGTTCCGGGGCTTGTGATTGAGTATTTGCGAGTAAACCGTATGTCTTGATATGCAGGTATGTATATACAGATATATCATATACGTCGTTGCAGTAATCAGGATGAATGCTATATCCTGAATCGTTAGCCCCTCAGCTCTTCGGCGGCTTTGGAAATGCATGTGATGCCTTACCGCAATGCAGGTATGTTCTTGGTAATATCGATCAGCCGTTGCTCCCCCCTTTGGTACTACAACGGACTAACCCCCAGGAGTAAGTATATACAGAGATCCCTAGGGTTACCTTACCAAGGTAAAAAGAGGCAGCAGCCGTTGTGGAATGAAAATATCGACTTCTAGCGGGGGATTTGCCGTCGAGCAGGACAAACACGGCGGGTTTTGTGCACCGACGGGAAAAGAGGGCGGGCGCCATATTAGTGGCCTCTCGTACCTTATATCGCCCGTTTCCACTTTCTGTTGTCTCTCTCTATCTTTGCGTCACGATAGCTCCAGTCGAGTTATGCCTGCTAGATTCTGCCAAGACCCGCCTGCCGTGGGCTTTTCTGTTCTGAATACGAGTTTGTTGTCTCTGTGGCTGGTCAGGAAGATCCATGGACCCTTGCTCGGCTGCGCTGCCCAGCTTGCCCTTGCTGCACAGGCATGCACAGATGCGGTATCAAATGTTTCTCTGCTCGTCGCTTGTTCGGATCTTAGTCGGGCACCCTTGAGAGAGACACTTCAGGGATTTTCGTGCTGCTGAGGTCATCACAGTCCCTTGATTTGTCTGTTCGGTGTTGAAACATGCAAGATTTTGATTTTCTGCCTCCGGGCGGCGAGTTTCTGCCAAGAAAATAAGGCATACACAGAAGGCGGTGGGCAAAAAGTACGAGCATCTCGAGCGTTGGCCGTATCTACATCGTGATAGTGGACCACCAAAAAAAAAGCCAAGGTGGCCATCTGTTTTTTTCTTCTCAACTCTTTCGCGTGCTGCGTCAGATGATCCGCTTGTGAATTGGCGGCTGAGACGAAACTGTCCCAAATCCCCTAGACTAATGTCTTTCTCTACATTGACTCTCATTTCAGAAAAGAGATCTACTACTAATAATCTAAAGGTCCCTTGTGCTGAGTGACGACTGTTTCAGCGGCCTCGCGTCAGCGTCGCACTCGCAACTCCCTTCTCTCCTATTCAGAGCAAAAGTCTCTCGAGGCCGCCGTTTGATCTCATGTCGCCAGATGCCGCACATCCACCCGCTAGTCGAACCCCCCGTACTGTGGCTCTTGTTCGTCTAGGTTGGACCCCGAATTATGACGACACAGCCGTTGCTATCACAGCTC